ATGCAAATTAAGTTTGCATAGTGTAGTATTCTTCCCCAGGCATTGCTATTCATGAGATGGTGATGACGAATGGGGAATTGCTCCGGCCTTTCCTACGCCTTAACCATTCCATGTACAAATAACCACCATTAGAATGACAACTCGAATCCTTTACTACGCCTTTATTACAAAGCAAGTACGATTTAGTACTCTTCTAAAGTATTAAGCCTTCTTTCCCAATCCTTACTTAAATAATAACTTAGTATATATCATCTAACAAATTTCAATATAGTTTATCATCACTCACAGAATTTGTCTGCTTGATATAGTTTCACATAGGCTTATGCTCCACCCTGCCCTTAAACCTATGCATGAATAGAGAAGTTCCTCCCAGATCTGAACATTCTAATGAATGCCTCCGACTAAGAAGGCCTGAGTATCTCTAAGCTTAAGATATGTAGATCAGGGACCTCGCCCATTGAAGTAACTTCCCTCCAGCAAGATGAGGATTTTTTGTCCCCCCTGAACGGGAACTCCATCGATATCCACCCATGACCGCTGAGATTGAGTTTTTCTTGGCCTGATTGCCAAAGCCTTTCTTCGGAACTTCTCCCACTTGTCAAATTCCAATGCTGGGAGTTCAAACTTCCTTTTGCATCCTTATTGCCTGAAGAAGCAATACCAGTGCAGAGAAAGAATCAGACTCAGGCTGGACAGGAGTTCAGATAGAAAATATCAGGCAAGAAAAAACAGAACCAAAAGATGTGAGGAGATACCGATAGGTTCCCGATCAGGAGAGAGCAACTTCGATACGCCTACCAATAGGTTGATCCATCTCACAATTGATATCTTAAAACAACTTCTTCTTGACTTCTTCTTCTTCAACGCCCAATCGACAAGTCGTCTGTAGCACGTGGTGTTTCGCAATATGAGAGTTCTTCGTTTGCTGCAAGTACAATCTCATGTAGCCGCAGCCAATGAGTGTTGTAGGCTCAGCCGGAGTAATATATCGTATTTACTCGAATAGACGCCGTGGCGTTTATTTAATTTCTCGTGTTCCAGCTGCGGCGTTTCTTCGGGGCGGCGTTTATTCAAAAATCACTTTATTCAACAAGATTTTGTAAAAGCAAAGTTAAGGACATACGATAACCTTTTTAACAGGCAACAGTAACAAATCCAATACAGTAAAAATGTCATTCATTGTCTTACTTTGTTTTTTGTACAGTAACTTCGAGCTTAAAAATGTTGTTCTAAATGAAAATAAATTTCCATTGCTGGTTTAAATTCGAAATATACTTTTTCTTTATTATTTATCATAAATTATTATTTCCTCAAATAATTGCCAAACCGCAGATGCGGCATCTATTCGGGGGCGGCGTCTATTCGAGTAAATACGGTAATGTAAAAACGATCCATGAAATGTTTGCAGACTGTTTATGCATGATTCAATCATAGACCAACAGACTTCTGAGCTTATATAGTATATATCTTTTTGGAGTACTGTTTATTACAATAAAGGTTGTTTTATATGATTGCAAGGTAGGTGCTCTATTTCATGATGTAACGGCTTTTTTTCGATTATGGGGGATCGCTAAAAAAGCTATAAAAACAGAGTAGTCCAAAAGGATTAAAGTATAAAGATGTAGCATGAATAAAATATTCAGTGCATTTGATAGATTTGATACCTAATGGACTTCTCTTTTTGGATTGAGACAAAAAAACTATGTTTGTTTTGATGTTTTTATTGGACCCTCGACTTTTTACCCTCGACCCTCCACTTTTTACCCTCGACCATCGACTCTCGACTTCTACCTACACTCCACAATGTTGTGTTATGAGCAATACACGTGAATGTTGAAGCTAATTCCCCAGCAGACTAAAAACACAGTAATTGGTAAATCAAAACCATTAATCATGGTTTTAATGCGAACCAGTCAATCCCATCAATAGTTAATAATTTCCCATTAATGGTAAAACATGTGAAGAAATCACAGCATTGGGAAATTGAAAACACAATGTTGTGTTATGAGCAATACACGTGAATGTTTCTGAAGCTAATTCGCAAGCAGACTATATATATTTTTTCTTTTGGACGTCTGCGGGCAATATTCCAACGTTTAGCCTTTTTTTCATGCTTTCATTGATGAAAGATATTGGCTAACTTGTATGAAAGAGCGAAAAAAATGGAAGGGTCACAGTGCCTGTTCTGGAGATAATTCGCATGATAATTAGCACTAATTTCTATATAAACTATTGGAGACTGCACAAATTGGACTACGTAAATAGAGAAGTAGATGAATATATATGTAAAAAGAAAATTGGGGGTCACCGTTCGTTTTGAAGAGATATGAGAGTTTGAAGAAATGAAAATGGTTTCAGCTTACTAGCCATTTTCTTTTTATCCCAAAAACCATCAGTGGTGTACTTGTTCTTTTCCATCAATGGTTATCATAGTAATAATTATACAAAGTACCACTCCTAAAACCRTTTATGTACTTTTATGAAAAAACAATTATGAGGAGTTGGAGAAACATGCATTTATTATAAGTTAAACACATCATGTTTTCAGCTTTCTMACCATTAATGTTTTTTATCATAATTCCATAAATGGGAAGTGTTCCTTGGAATTACTATAATTACCATTCTAAAAGCCATTATGTTTTTTAGAATTTTTTTTCCTGTGATGGAGTGCGTGCCGTTTACCAGTGATCAAAGTGGGCATCAACTTGTGACTTGCAGTGGGATAAACATATTGAGGCGCTCGACTTGATAAAGAGCATTTGCCGGGACATTACTGATACCACAACTAGAAACTTTTATACATTTTGTACACTAGTAAGAACTTGTCTTGAATATTGTTTTTGTTTATGGTCTCCTTACACCGCAAAGCAGCTGGCATTAAAATGTCTAACGACGACCCACTAAATTCTTCTTATTTTTTCCGCCAAGTGAAGTTTCGTATCTAGACTACAGACCCTTGTTATACAGCTATAGATTTTGCGGATATAACGAACACTTTCATTGTTTGATAGATGACAACGTGGCACTTGCTAAATCTAAATGTATCCCGACCGGGAAATAAGTAACTTATGTCCGGGTCGGGAAACAAGTTGCAAGTGACAATAATGGTGAAAATAAACAAGTGCACATGATCAAAACGTGAAAAAAGGTGGTAGCGTGATATTTTGCATGATCTTTTAAATAATTATTTAGCAATAAAATATAAAACATCGATGGAAACTATCTTAGTAAAAGGATAAAAACCCTCATTTYTTTATACTCACACCTACCTTTTCGGGAAACTATCGTAGTAAAAGCATAAAAACCCTCATTTCTATATACTCACACCTACCTTTTCGGCCATATTGCTTGATTTCAATACAAAGTGAATACGAAATGACACGTGGTTTGAGTGACCATAAGTCTGAGGCCCCGTCCACACTATGCCGGATAAATTTGAATCCGCAATTTTCACACCGAAACCGAAAAAAAGTTTCCCGTCCACACATGAAAACGGATAAAATGTTTCGCCTCCACACTAGTCCGATTAATTTTTTCAATGATATTTCTCACTTTTATCTTTAGTTTTTTATTTCTTATTTATTTTCAATCCCCCCCGAAAGTTGGCTCGGTTGAAACCGGACCAACTGTACCGGTGGCTACGGCCCTCTACCAAAATTCTCAAGTGGGAGAGTGTCGGCCGAGTCCCGCGACCATAACCGGATTTTAGCAAACGTCATAAAACTAACAGGCGAACGCAAACGTTTCCGCACGAAATTTTCGGGCAAAGAAATCTACGAAAAATAGCCAAAGGAGTTTTAAAGACATGAATTCTATATCTTAGGTATCGGTTTTCTTTATTGTGTTAGCAAGATGACGACCTTATATTACATACAAGGAATACCACTAGGAAAATCATAAAGTAAACAAAATCTTTTCTATTGCCTTTTTTATGGTTTTTGTTTTCACTCTTTCGTATCATGGAGGACAGCAATATTGAACTCGAATAAAAGAAATTAAAGTCGATCCCCTCCCTCCGATTTTATTTTCACTTTCTCGTTTTATCTAAATTGAACTCCCTGTGGGCCTAAGCAGAAAGATTGACTTATCAAGAGAAAGATTATTCAGTTTAAAAGTGCTGGGATTGGTTAATAGTCTTATTGGTCGTTAAGTTTTTTTGTTTTTGTTTTGTTTTTTGTTTTTGTTTTTGTTTTTGCGAGAATTGATCTTCATCTTTTCATCTTGCTCATAATCCGTTATGGTTTATATTTGAAAACTAAAGTTATCACGAACTAAAATCGTACTCTGAGCATCGGTCAAAATGAACTCAGGATAGAGGGAGGCAGAAGGCAAAGCAAAGAATAAATATAAGGCAGATTTTTTTCAATCGGCCAGGATGGCATTCGTAACACTACAGTTTCTGATCAACGTAATCTGAATTAGCTTTGCTTTTTCATTATTCATTCGCCGACTGTACAGTTGAGCAATAAAACCTAATCTTAGATTTGAAGACTCTCTTCATCTTGTCAAATTTATACTTTGAGCAGTTTGTTGAACTCTTCACAAAAAAAATGCTATGTACACCAACTCATCCTCGCTTTCAAATCATAATTTCTATCTTGTCGAAAGTAGTCAATGATTAAAATATTCGCTGTGGAAATTAAATCTTGAAAGATCAGTTGTTCAATTGTTGTTCGTAACGAAGATGCTGTACATCTTATTGTACAAACTCAAAATGTTTCTAAAACGTTTCTTCACACACATGCAGGGTTTATACGCCCTAAACATCGCATGTGATATTCAACTGAGTAGAATATACGTCAAATCTTGATTGGCAGCACCTGTGCACGCTACAAACCCGAAAAACTGAATTAAAAAACATACTCACGCTGTTTACTTTTATTAGCCAACTCGATGAAACTTCCTGCTTTTTTATTTGTTTTTTGATAATTGAGTCATCCTCTAAAATAAACTGTTGTTCTGAAGCTTAAATCATATTGTTTGATGTCACATTTAGAACAGCAGATCCAAGAGAACACTAATAGTCGATGTTTTTACAATATTTACAAAAGCATGGTCAAAAAAGCGCGAGAACATCTTGGTTAGGCAAATCGGTAAGCCATTTTGAGTAGCCTAAAAAATAGCGCGCAATTGCTGACATTCAGTGGTTGTATATAGTAATTGTGATTAATTATAATATTGATATGGGCAACTCTGAAGTAGACTGCTGATTTAGACAGCAGCTCTTGAAATCACAGTTGATTTTAAGTACAAAGTGCATTATATAAACGGCCAGCGAAATTTGAAATTCAGATTTCAATTCTGTCTCAAGCTGCAGGACGACCCCAAAAAGGCCGTTTTAAACCTGTTTTTTTATTGTATAGTTATTTTTCTTATTTTAGTTATTTGAAGTTTGGTGTAATCAGTTCATTTATTTGGGGGGTTTCTTTCAGTTTTATTACATGACAATATTACGTTGTTTGGTTTTAATAATATGTTGCACAACAACTATTCTTCTTATTGTAGATCAGCTGCTAAACCCATGATTTATTCTATATATGCTATTTAAACAAGCTCACTGAACGCCAAGAGGCGAGTGTAGCAATAATATAGACTGGCAAGGAACTGGTTGGAAAATGGAACTGACTGAAACGAAAAACACCACTGATCATCCTCATGAATGCAGTTGGGTTCCACCTCATGATGAAATCATTCTTTACGTCTTTCTCAACATTTTATTCTCCTGTCTGGCAGTGTGCAGTAACTTTGTTTTTATGTTTGCAGTTTTCAAGACACCAAATCTCCAGACTGTTTCCAACTTTTTTCTATGTTCGTTAGCTTTAGCTGATTTTTCAGCAGGCCTTTTTGTCAATTCACTCTACAGTTGTATCGTCCTTTTTGGAGTTTCTCCCAGTGGCCTCTGGCTTTCGAAAGTCGAGAAGTTCGTCTGGATTCAGACGCTTGTTTGTAATACTTTCAGCTTGGCTTTGGTGAGCATAGACAGGTACATTGCCGTGCTCTACCCTTTGAAATACTACACTATCATCAACGAACGAAGATGTTTTTTTAGTATCATGTCTGTCTGGGTATTATCGATTGTATTGGCTCTTCCGGCACCATTTATCAGCGAAAAAGGTGTAGCCGTCCTATGGTCAATTGGTGGAGTCATCTCCGTTGTCTTTCCATTCATTATCATTAGTTATTGTTACTTTCACATATTCGGAGCTGTCAGACGACAGGCAACGAGAGTTGAGCCACCTCCAGATTCTGTAGTTTCCCAGAGTGGACAAATTCGCTCAGTTACAAGTGCCCAACGCCAGCAGAAAGCTGCTGTCACAACTTCAATAATCGTAGTTTTCTTCATCGTGCTTTTCTCTCCCAACATTGTGTTTGCATTTCTTTATGCATTGGCAGAGGAAGGATGCGACCAAGCAGCAGTGCTTCGATCATGGCTCTGGGGGGTGTTGGTTGCCTACAGTGGATCCTTCATCAATCCTTGGATTTATGGACTTCGATCAAAGGAATTCAGAAACGCTTTTAACCAAATGTTTAGGTGCAGGAACTGATGACATAAACTAAAATACGCGAAGATACTTTATTTATTCCAGTTCAGAATATTTGTCTGTCAATATGATATTGAACTTAAATAAAAGTTTTGAAGACTCTGTCAAAATATCATTTTAAATGTGTCTTATCTTAGGTATTTGAGCTGGTTTGTAAATATTTCAGTGCCCTACTACAACATTTGAGAAGCCTAAGAGAAATCTAATCGAGAAATAATCATCGCACTTTACTGCGGTTTTCGAATTCTGCGAACCCGGTAGTTTCGAGCTGCACGCTAAAGTTTGGTTTTTCGCTGCCGTCAATCAAAATTAATCAGTCGGTACCTTTTAGGTTCTTGACTGAAATGTCTGAGTTGGCAGAATATCGAAAACCGCAATAATTTCCAATCAAAGAATCAACTTTCTGAGGAGGCTATAAAGACTCTACTTGAGAACAAAACACCAAGGACCACACACATATCAAACAATGAGTGTCAAAGCTCTCTTTCCCGGTCTTAAAAAAAGGGACTGGGGAGAAGTTGACCAGGTCGAACCAGCGCGTGGTGGAACACACACCGCGGGCGCTGTTCGACCGGGCATGCGCATATTGATGCATTGCGTCACAACGAGCCACGTATGCGTTTTCGAGCGTTTTAATTAGTAGTGTGGACAGTCGAAAACGATACGAAAACACTAGAGTGGCGCAAATCATGCGTTTTCGACAAGACAAAAACGGAGCCTTTCGAAAACGTATGCATTAGTGTGGAAGGGGTCTAATGCTCTGTTACACGTTAAAACATTTAAGGTGGCTGGACCCCCTCACGCTTGACCGCTACCTTCCACTTTTGGAACGCTGGTGCATAAACGTGTTTTATCCGATTGCAAATCGCTTTTGCACATAAGTCACATAAAGATTGAATTAATGTTTGATGCAGTTTTTAATGAGATCGGACGTCATAACACGTGATTATGATGAAATATTTGTTTTCGTTTAGAAAATAATTTTAGCCTTGCAGAGCGTTCAACACTAAAATGCTTCGTACCACATAATTATATACTAGATGCCTCCATTTGTAGGGTCGAATTTTGTGTAATATTAGTTTAAGTTCTAATTCGTATCCTGACGTAGTTTTGAGAGAAATGATCAGCGAATTTTAGAATAATGGAAGATCTAGTAAGATTGACTAGAAAACTGCGATGAAAAGTGCGCATCAAATGTTTCCCCCGTCTTCTGCATTATACGTTTTCACAAAATCGCATAAGTCGATTACCTTCAAGATGTAAAACTAAATGAGCAATGACTTTTGTGAATATTATAGCTCTGAAATATTAATTTCGGCAGTATGAAATCCATTGTTTAGTTTTGAAGTAGATTATGCACTATATTTAAATAATCTCAAATATCCCATAATAAGCAAGATAGATTTGTTCAAAAATCCCTACAAATGGAGGCATCTAGTATATAATTATGTGGTACGAAGCATTTTAGTGTTGAACGCTCTGCAAGGCTAAAATTAAAATCTAAATCTTTAATGTCTAAAATCTTTATGTGACTTATGTGCAAAAGCGATTTGCAATCGGATAAAACACGTTTATGCACCTGCGTTCCAAAAGTGGAAGGTAGAGGTCAAGCGTGAGGGGGTCCAGCCACCTTAACGGCTTGAATTGCAATACAAGTTTAACGGTGGTGTTACACGGCACAATTTCGCCCTGAAACGTGTTCGCGACACCAGGTTCGGTTGCACGAGTAGAAAACAGTTCTACTTTTCATAAAACTTCATCGCAACGAAAGTTGAAAGTTTCACAGTGTAAATTGAGCAATATCACACCCAATGAAACTTGTCTAGTATGACAATCCATGAAACTTGTCTACCATGTCAAGACATTGAGATGCAAATCAGGCGAAGATGAACAAAAAATAAAAGTGACACACGCGACAACTGCATTTGAAGGTCTTCCTGTAGGTGCTACGAGTCATGTAACCTGACAGAAGCTAGCTATTATATATTCTAGATTTTTTCACAAGATTTACCCTCTTCTTATCTTTAATCTTTATTTCAAATCTGTGTTAGTTTTAGTTGCCTTTGATTTAGAATTGATTTGTCATTGAGCTAAGATGTCATTCAGTCAATTTTTGCCGATCTCAATTTTTATATTTGTTATCAGATATTCCAGATGATATACACGGTCCTGCAAATATTTGAGTAAAATATGGGATCCAATGAAAGTCAGGATCATGAAGATGTTCATGTAGATTTTAAACGATATTACATGCGAGGAAATATCAGGAAATTTCAATTTTGTAAAACTGAAGAGACTACCAAAGGTCTTATCTGAGGTTATCTCAGCTAGCTTGCTCGAAGAGCAGCTCAGTTCCGGCCGATGTCACTTTGATATCAAGCGGGGAGTATATAACACCATCGCCAACGCACATATTATTTTAGAAGTAATGCAGATAGATCTGTTCTTATTAAAGGACTTATAAAATGTGAAGTGCCTACAATATAGTCAATGATATTCAATTATATAGTTATATTATTCCGTAATTATTTTCGAATTTGGCTATGATTGCGACTCCGGTTTTTCTTATATTTCTTTTGTTGGTTTGTTTATTTTTCCGTTCCATTCTTTATTGTACGTTTTTATAATTATTTTTATTGCTCATATTTTTTCTTTTTGTTCTTTGAGTCAATTATTCTTCCAGAGACAATTAGCTATACACCGATCAAAGGAGCAGGAGTTGTAACTTAAAAGGGGCACACAACTCAAAACTGAGGTCTTTGCTTATATTCGCTTTAAGATGAAATAAAAATGACATTGTTTTCCTTGATTTTGCGGAAGGCCAAAGATGCTATCGACGACTACAAATACATGGTGAAAGGTGACTGGTCAAACACAGGTGAAGCCCGTCGGCTGACCGTTGTGTAAAGTTGTCATTTTAAACATTGACTTTGAATATGTTCAAACGGTATCATTTTGAAAGCCAAGCATTACTGACTCTTTTAGACCGTGTTTGTGAGATGCAATTCGACAATTCGAGTTCATTTTGGGTAAATAGTGTGCTTCTTCATTGACATCCAGCTTGAAACTCACGTTACTTAAACCAATAGAACTTTGAGATTGTTCTTTTGGGAGCACAACACATCTTCTTAGTTACATTCTTAGCATTCTTCACTTAAATTAGGAATTTTCAAACTTAATCGAGGTTCTGCCATCCTAAAAATCTTATTTTGTTTTTCATTGAAATCCCTGATGTTGAATGTAACAGAGTTTTCCTTGGCCGGTAAAACAGACCTCTTGAATCGACAAATCTTAACGAAGCCATTTCGATAGTTGGAGCTTTGAAAGGCGTACAAAACCGGGTTTAAGAACGATGAAAATGTTACTAAAAACTCGACTGTTTTAAGCAAAATTGTGTACGAGTTTTGATTTTCTATCAGTGTTTTTCGTTTTGATAGAGTAAGGAATGACATAAATATTCCATATGGAAGATAGCAGGTGTAAAATGCCATCGTTACGGAGAGAAGTAACTTGGCTAGCTTTCTTTTTGACTTGTCGTCCTCTTGTCCCTGTGCTTGCCCCATAATTGTCTTCTCGAAGAAAATACCTTTAATAATCTGGAAATAGCAAAACCCTAAGATCAGGAGTGGAAAGCCTCCAAGGAAAAATACAGTACAAAGAACATGTGCTCGAAAGTCCGTGATGGATTCTAAACTGTACGGGCAGATGCACCGACCATACTTAGCGTCAAAGCGATTCGCTACAAAATCTGGAAGGTTAATAAGAAGAGCGATCGACCAAATCCCAGCAATGACATATCTTACGTTTTCAAACTGTATTTTTAGTTTTCCTGCTGTTAAAGGCTTGACAAGAGCGTGGTATCTTTCTACAGCGATGGTAGACAAAGTCAGTACGGAAGCACCAATGGCTACACCAATTATTCCATTGCCAGTGAAAAGCTTACATAGGTAGTCACCCAATGTTCCTCTTGGATGAGAAGAGTAAAACGCGAAACTGTACGTCCTGGGATTCCATAAAAGAGTTATAATATCCGCAACTGCCAGGTTAACGAGGAGATAGTTGGTAGTGCTGTGCATCGACGAGGTCCTTTTTACTACAGCGAGTACCAAACAGTTCCCAACAACACCAACACAGACAATGAAAGCGTACAGCGAACCAAATAGAATATCTAAAGTTTGTATATCAAAACGTCTAAAATCAACGAGCTTCTCTTGCGATGAAGACGCGTTGAAACTTGAGTTTTGAACGCTTTGCTCCGCTAAATCCATTGGAAATAAACGGCTATATAATCGTTTTCAGTTTTTCGAACCTTGATTTATGAGATGTAATGGTTTTGTCCTTGATCTGTGTCATAAAACAAGTCACTGACTTAGACTACTAAAGGCGCAGTATTTTGTCTGTTCCAAGTTCATAATGAACTACGCGAGGGCGGCATATCGCTTACCCAGTGAATATCCTTCAAATCAGAAAACGCTAGTTATGATTAGCAAAACATGAGTTTGTTTGCCTTATGTGGACACCTCTTGCGTGTACAATAAACCATTTGCATTTTTAATCAATTGATAAAAATTTCAAACTTTGACTCTGGAAGACATCCTATCTAAATCTTCGCTTGAACTTTATTATCTTTTTATTTTTTCTTTCCATATTTTTGTATGCCATTTTCTTTCATTTAGTATTTTATTTTATTTCATTAGCAATTCTTTTGCATTTGATTTACTATAGTGTTTTCTGTAGCGGATTGTTATAGCGGAAGAAAGGCTATAATCCTACCGAAATAAGGGTATGTGAACGAACTGACACTTAACATAAATAGTTACAAAACGCAGCGCTAATTAGGAAAACTGGTTTCAAACATCACTCAAAGCCACACCGCTAAGGGTTTTATTCGGTTCAATCGGTCATACAAATCAAGCAAATGAACTTACGACTGAGAATTCTTTAAAAGATTGAGCCTCCGGATCCACTGATATATGTTTATCGAGTTTATTAAAAAACTGACGTTCACTAGAAAATGAATGTAAAAACGGATTAAAAATATTATTGCTGTGGTTATTGAATTATTTCTCGATAATTGTATTTACGCATGAACAAGTGTGTTTGTACTCGTATAGAAGTCGCCGTGACAACAAAGTAAGAAGCCAATCACTAAGCACAGATGATTGATGCTTACGTAAATATATGACAATATGACAAACAAATGATGTTATCATCGTGGTTAATATTGGTTTAAAAAACGTTATGAATTTTTAAGTCATTTTGCAGTAATCATTTGTTTAATGAAAAAAAAAACAAAAAACAAAAAAACATTGGAACATAAAAAATGTGTTTCGTACCTTTTTACGGTAGCAGTAGACTGATATAACACCGCCATGGTTCAGGCACGCATTGATAATCATTCGATATGGATAGAACAGGCTGAGTGCTTGACAAACATGTAGGCAGGTATTCAAATGCAGAAAATAAATATACTGAACGGCTATGACGGCACTTTCTGAAGGACTAAGTAAAGTGAAATCACTGAAAGGGAAAAGGAGAAAAATGAAATAAACAAAAAAAAAGGGGGGGCTGAAAATAAAAGAGATATGTAAGACCATGTAAAGGAAAATGAATAACAGCGCAACAATAAATGAAAGGAAGTGTAAAAAAAACGCGCATTTGATCATATTACACATGCTAATTTGCGCGTTATAAATAATTTAACTATGGTTTAACAATTATTCGCCGAAGGCGAAGTGATTATCGTAGGAATGTTTACCGAGCCGCGAGTCTTCGAGCGGCAAAGTAAATATCTCCATGATGACTGAGCCTGAGGGGAATAATTGTTTTAGCATAGTTTTAGACTTAAATATTAGAGAAAAGTCGAAATAAGGATGAAAAAATGTTTTAGTATTACTTCCGATCTGGAAAACTTTGTAAAACCTTAGAATCACCGGTTGCTCGACCAATCACAGCTCGAGAAACTCTATATCCAAGTCTAAAATTATGCTAATAAAAATTTTTATCAAAAGAAAAAAAAAAAAAAAATTCATCAATTTGACAAATGATATGACTAGCGATGTTGTTTAGGGGGGTAAAGTATAATGAGCAAATCCATTCCAGTTAGTCAGCTTTCAGGATTATCATTTTCATGATTCAGCAAGAGCTGTTTGGTTTTATTTCAAAGTGAACAAATAGTCCAGCTGTTATCGACCAAAAAAATGCTGAATTGTTCACTTTAATGATAAAAGCATGAAACTTGGCCAGATTACTAATATCCCTAAGAGAAACAATTTTGGATATGGAGCCAACCCAAATTTGCGGTTATTGTTGAGTTCTGCGCATGCCTTAAATGTACAACATGAAAGCGAGGCTGCAATCTAATTTCATGAAACAAATCAAAAGGAATTGACCGTTTTCAAACACCGCTGTTTTCCTTTATTACAGACTTTTATATTCAGGTTTTCGCAAAAAAAAAAAAAAAAAAACAACAACAACAAACAAACAAACAAACAAAAAAAAAACCAAACAAACAAAAACAAAAAAAACACAGTAGAGTAAGCAATGCACAATTTCACTAAACAATAAAACACTTTGAAATTCCACGTACCTTCACTAGAACGCATAAAAATTGCAAGTGCAATTTCTATTGATTTTTTACTCTTTCGTATTGGTATTGCGGAGGACATTATCTTGACCTCAAAATATAATAAAAAAATATTTCATTTCTCCGATTTTATTTTCACCTATCACTTTTATCTAAATTGGGCTCCCTGTGGTATTAAAAACTAGTCATACCTATCAGTAACAGGATCGAGACCTAGTGTTTTTTCTTTTCTATGCTTATCGTGCATCCTGATCGTCAAAGCCGGGAATTATGAAATATTTTATCAGCGTGACTGTCAATTGTAAAGTCCTAGAAAGGAAAGTTTATAAGTCATTTAATGGTTTCCCGAACCTTCATTAGTGCTGCCCGACTGCCGAACCCTCCGCGACTGCCGTTGTCAATCATTCCAGTTCCAACAAAACTCACCTAACCATTTTTCAGTATGCGAGCTGAATGGACTTGTATTGACCATCAACTCGTCCAAGACTCTGGTAGAAAGACAAGGATTTGTATTTTGTGAGTTCAATTTTGTACCAAAAAACTGATTTAAAAGCCTCCTAAAATCCACACATGTCGCTTATTTATGTTAATCCTTATTAGTAGAAATACACAGGTGATCATTGAAAATCTCACGCGCTGATCATAATTGGTCGAGAAACTCACACACACTATCACACGATAGTCACTTCCAGCGATAATCCAAAATGGCGGCCTGCCGCTTTGTTTCTGTTACCGGAAAAAAATTCTTTTATCTTCTTGTTTTTCTGTTTTCTTTTGAAAGAATCACCTGTATATTTATACTAAAACAATTACATTTATTTAATAACTGTTCACAATTTTATAATTCATTGTCTTTTACTAAAAGATATCAGTCTTAAGGTAATTCCGCCTTGTTTTGCACTGCGCATTTTTTTGCACATGCAACTAAAAGCATGGAAATAACAAAGTTTAGGCATTTTTCTTTCGAATACTAAAAAAGAAACATGTTCAAAAACAATTTTACCTGATTTTCTTCTTTTTGAGTAGATAAATTGCGATTTTTATCTGACTCGCCCCAGTCTCCACTTGGAAATTTTTTTTTTGACAAGGTAAATCAAAAACGAGAATGGTGACCCCCATTTTTTATTTCAGAATTTTGATAAATGCGATGCTCGTTATATCAAAATATGAAGGAAAATTTATTGGACAGATTTTGAAATATTTTAATGGGAATAGTTGACATGTGCAAAAATTGTGCAAATCTGAGTAAAGTTGTAACAATAACATCACTTAAGAATATCATTACGAATTGACACCTTATTAGGGAAGGTAAATCTTTCAACTCCAAGCCCCCTCCCCCACCC